AAATGCTTACATTAAAGGGCTTAATTTCTTTCTCTACTTGTTTGCTTTTTCATTGTTTGTTTTTGTGCCCACTCTCCTTTTGTGAATTTGACAGAAATGTATGGAATAATCAATCTTTTTTCACAAGAAATATACCATTTTTTTTTTCTCCTTTTATATTTCCAATGATTCCTAAGTAGAGTCTCTTTAGCAGGGTTTTGATGTGGTTCTGGCCACAGCTGGCCTGCACAGGGAATTTACCTACTTCGTCAGGTGCTGAAGCATTAACGCTTCTAAAGAAATCATCACTGTGCCCTTACTTTAAGGTTCTTCTTGTCTTTTTGAATTGGCAGAATTATGGAGTTGTTTTCACTCTGAGATACAAATTAAAGAATATCAGGGTGCTTGTCTTAAAATGTGCTCTAGTTTTTTGAAGGTGCAAGTGGAGATCCAAGCCAAGAATTGCAAGGAACCTCATTCTCAAAGGAACCTCTGAGCTGTGTTACACTGAAAATCCCATGCTATGCTTTGCTTCATGAGTGAGTGCCTCTGCCTCCTTTGCTCATCCAGGAGTGGATAGCATTGCCTATGTATTTTTAGAATACATCTAGGGGATAAATACACTGTATTTTTGGCATGTGTTGTTATAATAACATCTACAATAGATGCCCATTTGTGTCTTTGGTTATTAAATTAAACTGTTAGTAGGATTAAAGCAGAGCTTTCATTTTCAATCAGCCAAAATTTTGATTTCTAAATAACAGCGTTCATAACAAATTCAATGCCTAGGATGACTTTATGTTCCTCTAAAAAGGGCTCTTCTTCTGTATGAAGAACTGCTAAGCCCTTGCACTAGTCTACAGTCATGAATAATGAAACCCAGATGCAGTTCTAGGCACGTGTATTCCTGTTCCTTTACCAGGAATTCCTACTTCCTGTGCTCATCACCAACCCTGCAGCCCAAGCCACAGCTCCTATTCAGGACTCATCCTCCCATACTTCAGAATAATGCTGTGAGTCAAAGATCTCTCCCAAGAGGTCTATGGAAGGGAGTCCTGTTGGAGTCCAGCCCCATTTATGGATTTCCTCTGGGCTCCAGGTTCTCTGCTCTACGTCGTGGCTGTGAGGGTGAGGTGGAGATGACTGAAATAAGAGCTCTATTTCCAACATGAGGACCAGACTTTGGGGAAGGGCTATAGGGATGCCTCCCTGCAGCCCCAATGATCCCCCACGTGAGGGTCATCTCACTTCTGTCTCTGTGACACAAAACCTCATACGATGCTCAGTGATAATAAAATAAACATCTTTATTTTTAATAGATGGACAAAACAGACCCAAAACTAGACAGTATTTTCCTGAATTGCATGGGCACTATTGGAGACAATACAAATGAAGTTAAAACATACATATATCCATATTATGCTTCCTATCTGTTTTGTTAGCAGTAGTTTTAATATATCATTTCTGACACAGACAAAAATATACTTTTTTTTTTTTTTAAAACAACAGCCACAAATACTGCTCTGATTAATAGCAGACTTACAATAACGTACTGTCTAATTGCACATGGTACTTGATCAAATATGCTTGAAGGGCTTAAGGAAAAATGAGTAACAGTTTTTTTCCCCTATGATACTTATATTTGAAATACTAAATTATTGTACTATGAAAATAAAAGACTAAATCTGACTTTTACTTTATTTGATCCACTTAATGTTTACATTCAGTTCAGGTTCACAAAAGCATGTGTTATTTATAGTACATATACCATCCTATATAGACAAATATAGATGAAGTTGTAATTCTTTTGATGTATCAGCTATGTATTAACCTTGATTTTATGAATATATCTCATGCAAAGGAGGTAAAAAACCCTGTTGAATAAGTGTTACTCACAAATGTTAAGAATCAGAAAGTGAAATACAGGAACATGATATAAATATTTTATTCAGAAATCATTGGCTCAGAAACAATAACCTCTGTGTTTGAGGATGAGTTCTTTGCTTCACTGATTGTAGATCCAATTTAGTGCACACTACCACTACCTACAAACTGCAAAAGTGGAGAAAGAACGTTTGATGATTCACATGAAAATAAAGCTAACTTGCAGAATCATATTGTTGGTATTTATCTTGTGGAAACAACTTGGTTGCATTCTGTTATCTTTTTTTCTCTGCAGCTGTCAATCATACATGTGGCTTTGGTTATATGATCCGCTTCGTATAAATCCAATGGCAGGGTAGTTGAACTAAGGCAAGAAAACCAGTAAATGGACACTGCATGGGATTGTCTTAGTTTGGCTTTCAGAATCATCCAATCCACAGCAAAGCTCACCACTGCAGCTACTGAAGCTGTTGCTGGGTTCACACAAAGAAATGCAGAGACTTTACAAGTAGAAAGCAGAGCTAATGTCACACTATGAACAGTTTTCCATGTTTCTTCTCCCCTTTGCATGATAAAGTTTCCATGGTGTGCTACTTGAAACAGTGCAATAACCTCTACATTTTCTCAGAGAGGAGTGGAAAACTGTTGGAACAATTTTCTGCCAGAAAAAGCAGTTCCAGCAAAACAGGAAAATCGCAGATACTTCACAAAAATATTCAATAAGATAAACAGTATAAAACATTCTGGTAATACTGAAAGCATCTGGGTTGAAGTTTTGGGGGTAACATATTTTGATTTTTCATTTAACTTTTCTCTGAGCATTTTAGAGGACTTTATGTTTTTATGGCAATGAGGGGATACAAGGGAATCAAAATACTTTAAAAGAGACCAGCTGAATCTTTTTGCCTATTTCCTTCCTCCACTACTGGAAATTCTGAAATATGCAATGTAGAAGTTCTGCTGGTCAATATGCAGCTTCTCATACTGAAATTCTCTCAACTCTTAGCCACAAGTAAGAACATTTTCAGGAAGATTTACTTGGTAGATAAAAATTTGGATCCCCTAACTTAATTTGGAACTGCAGTGTAAAGCACTGGTTGTGGAAGTGAGTAAAACTGTGGCTTGGTGTTTTTTCATAGAAACAGATTCAGGCTAGTGGATTTGAGACAGACATGGATAATAATTCAGCAGTGGCTCTGTTCTCCCCTCTCTCTCTTCCATATGATCTCTTTCCACCTCTCTTTTCCATGGTTCAAGGAAAGATTACGGTGGGCTTGTGTCCATTTTGTAAGGTCCTCAGCACTCTGAAGTTAGCTCATCAGCAGATTGTTCCCTCACCCCACAGAACTTTCTCTTCTTTTCTTTGCTGTATTGACTCTTAGCAGATTTGGGGCTGATCGTGATTTTGATTCCCTCCACCCAATGCACACTCAATGCCTGTTCATGCAGCAGTACTGCAGTCCACAATGCATATCTGGAACTCAGATGTAGTATTATTTCTAATGCAGTGTATGGAGGAAAAAAAAAATCTCTAAAATTAATTTTATCTACATATAGTATATATATATGCCATTAAAACTCCACAAAAGGAGCAAAAACATATCTAAGAATTCAACCTTGTGAAAGTTTATGTTAACATTGAATGTACACATTGATGGCTTCTTCCTTTAGCAGCAAAACCTACTCTTACACTTCACATCCTCCAGTATAGCTCTTCCTGCTGTAAATGTAAAAGAAGTAATTTTCACCAGTGATCAGCAACAGGAGAGTATCTGGATTTCAGCTGAATGTTCTGTGACGTGTAGATATTAAAAAGAATTACTGGAGCATAACTCTTAGTAGCATAGAAATCTAGCTATTAGATCTCCCTCTGTGAAAGGCACGTACCAACGAAGACAGACATAATCATCTTGGCTGTGGGCAAAATGAAACCAAATTGAATGCTCTCTGCTGGCCAGGCCATAGTTACAAGAGGCTTAATCTTCCCTGCTTTGCTTCTAGCCAGCATTATCATTTATGAATGGTCTCACTCATGCCTAGATAGTGCTGGTGCCCCACAGGCACCATGCTGGCCCATGAGAGTGGCTGTCAACGAAGGAGTCCAGCACTTGGCTGAAGACACTGCTATGCATTTTGGTATACTTGTGGGTTCAACTTTCCCTTCAGGTTTCCTCCAAGCTGCTGCCGCTTCTGGAGGTAAATACAGGCATGGAAAGCTCTTCACCAAGCCTCTTTTCTCACGGGAAATCAAATTTTTGAGAAAATGTGATTTTCCATGGAAAATCTACTCTTTTTCAGAGTAATCTCAGTAAGTCCAAGCCAAAATACTTTTTGTTGTTTTTGAGAATGTATTTTCTTAGTAAGTGAAATCTGAGTATTTTCCCCATCTGTTTTTTTTCAAGCAGCCTTCTTGAGTCTCTGATTTTTTAATATTTCCTCCATTGTTATGGTTGCCTGTTGTCAGACTGCTTTGCTTAGTGTTCATTTTTTGTGATAAATCAAAATAAGGCTTCCTTCCACAACACTGCAAAGTTCTTTTTACTTTATAAAAGTTCAGTATTCTTTTTTTTCACAAGTTGAGTTTCTCAACTCCAATTATTGCTTTAAAATTTTTATCCTCCTCCATTGGTGACAGCCACTAAACACAGAAAAGAAGAAAATCTACAGTAACATACTTTGTTTAAAGGTCATCTTGCATTAGGCATACCATCACTTTAACTGCTGATTTCATTTTAACTTCTTTTAAGAGTATAAGATGTTCAGCACATCTGAAAAGAATTTGTTACGATTTGCACATTTTGCTGTCTTATGCAAATAATAATAATATACAAGATTTGTATTCTTTGAAATCCTTTATGAGGAAAAAAATTCCAGAACAAAAACCTAGGGAAGTTATCCATCTGTCTTTGTGAAGGCATTTAGTTCTTTAGAAATAAATCACTTACAGCTGTGACAACATACTTTCACTTAATGCTAATAAAGTGTTGGCTGGTAGTACTTCAGATTGACTGTATTATAATCTCCTCATACAATGTCCTACCTAAATAGCTGTTGCACTTTTCTGCTACTTATATTTTCAATTGTAAATAATTTTTTTTTTTTTTAATTACATAGTTTATAGCTGTGGGTGAAAAGAATGGGATCTAAGTGCATCTTTAGGTAAACACTCTGTGATCTAATCCAACATGTTAGATAATAACAGGAAAGAGTTCTGCCCATGGATGCTCCTGCTCGTAGAACCAATGAGAGATTGTGCAGTGGCATTTCATTCCTAAGTTTTGCTTTTCTTTCCATAAAATGCCTCTTACTATTCTTCGTAGAATATTGTGTTTCGCATTGCTTCGTCTGTGGGTGCCACTCTTTTTAATTATCTTCCGTGTTGGACAGATCTGGACTTGAATCAACGTAATTAAAGGCTTCCTTGTTTGTGAAAGTCGAGCTCAAAGTTAGACTGTGCCGCGGATTCACAGGTGCGAGTTCGTTTAATACAATATTGTCACTCTTTACAAGTGTTGCTTTGTCCATGTGTTCTCTACTGTACCTCGCAACCACAGCATCAAGGAAATCCAGCTTTGGTGGCAAAGTCCCGCTCTCAAATAAGTATTTGGCTAAGTAGGAGACTATAATGTTAGTAAAGAAGGAGGTAAGCATCGCAAGTGTTTTAAATGGGAATCGCTGGACGTAGATATTATTTTCATCAGGATAGCAGCCAGGATAGTAGATCAAGGGCTGAAGGTAGAGGTATGGTTCTCCTCCAGTTATTCTGAGAACAAGGCCAAATAAGTATCCTGCAATGGCACCATAGGTGTTGGTTCCTTTAATAAACAGCACACACAAGAGCTGAGGGAATATGATGATATAAACAAGATCAGAGCTGAGGTACCACAGGCCGTACACTGATGATGCCAGCAGTGCCATCGCTGTCGCTGATGCTCCAAAGAGAAAAACAGTGATTCTCATGACCCATACGATTTCCCTGTCTGAGGCCTGCAAAAAAAAGTGCAGTGTTATGGTGGTATGTGTACGCTGCCATTTGTGAGCACAGTCTGTATAAGGCATGTCACTGTAAAAGGGAATTATGCATGACATTCAGCAATATTCACAAGCTAATAACTCTATCTCAAGCATGGGATCAAAAAACAAGGGCTACGGTTTCCATTCAAAAAGTCATTAACCTTAGTGCACATGGAAAAAATTGATAAAGTCAGAGAAAAAAACAACAGTTGCAGAAATAACTTTTGAAAATAAACACAATATAGATCAACCAGAAAAAACTTTCATTGTCCAATTTTTTTCTTCTCCATTTCCTAAGAAAATCTATGACCACAAGCCCGCTCTGCACCTTTCTTGAGTGCCACATGATTTCCTAATAAACCAGTAAGTCAGAAAGATGCCTCAGTTCACCAAGTATTTAAGTAAAAATTATAGTTGCAACAATAATTACGAGCTGTTTAGAATAAACTGCAATGCCATGGAAACACTTCAAATCTGCCTTCCATGATCTTTTTCAGCTGTGTCATCAGTCACAACCGTGAACATTTTAAACCTTCAGTTTACTCAATACACTGTTTGCAAAGAAATGCTGTACTTTTTCTAGTCATAGGCAGGAATATGGAGTAAATGTTTCACTAAGAAATGGCAGTCTATGCATTACCTAGTAAAAGTCTCTCAGCTAAAATTTTCTCTAAAAGTAAAAATGGAAATATAATCTCACATTTTGCCGAAATGAGAGCTGGTAAATGTTCCGAGCAAACATAGAACTTGCTGATAAAATTGAAGAGTCAGCTGATGACATGACAGCAGCAGATACAGCACCGAGGCCAAAGAATGAGATGTAGACTGGGCAAAGATACTGGAGCACAATTGGTAAAATCATATCCGCTTCTTTATTAGCAATGGGGTCAGGAAAACCATATTCAGTCTGGTTCCAGGCTGAAATATAGACACAAGTGTGTTGTGAGTAACATTATTAGTCATTCACTCATTAACATTAGTAACATTAACAGGTGATTTTAGCTTGCTTTTAGTTCTCACTGCTCTAGTCTACTATCAGTAGGCAATAAATCATATTAATCTCCCAGTACTGAGTTCATTCTGCCTGTGCTGGTAGCTGGTGGGTGATCTGTCTGCCCTTGTCTCAAACTACACACTTTTTTATTTTCTGCTCCTGTTATTTGAGGGTTGGGAGTGACAGAGCAATGTAGTGGAGCTTAGTTGTCCTTTGTTGTTGAACCACCACAATGGAGCAACCTCCCTAGGGAAAAACATACTCTAGAAGTATTTTTCAGTGCTGTCTCCTGTTGATGAAGTCATGGGTTGATTAATCATGTCACCTGTCTAATGCGAAATTTTCACACATTTATTACATTACTCATTTATTTAATAATTTACCTGTGGATGCTCCAATCGCGCCGATGAGTACTGCAGGAATAGCCATCACAAGGCAGCCAAAAGCAGCCAGAAATGACAAAACTTGAGCATATGTGGCAGAAGATGAGGAAAGAACTCGCTGGAAATATGCTTGCCATGGGATACCTCCGAATGTCTGCAAACACAATAAGCAGTGTTCCATTACTGGGAGCTGACACCAGATTTCTTTGCTGTCACCATATAGAGAACACATAGAAGCATCACTTGAGTGCCGCATTGCTGCTCTTTCATCTATGGCTTATCAGTCAGTTAGTAACAGCTGTAACCTCCATTCTCACAAGTAATGTTAGATCTTTGTAAGCCCACTTAAATCCCACTCTTTTAGCAAAATTATTCTCTGTACAGTTAGAAACAATGCTACATAGTTTCTGTAATCCTAAAGCATTGTGAGCTCCATAAATATTTGATAAAGCCTTACAAAAAGTTATAAAAGTACTATTGACATATCTCATATTTGCAGAATTTGACCACCAGCACCCTCTTCCCCCCAGAATTACATTAATTAGGATTGGAAAACAAGATTTTATCTCCTTCTGTGAATGCATATAACTATCTAAACAAGCAACAAGTTCTGTATGTATTCGACATGAGAATATGGAAAATGTTTCTCCCATTGTCTTAACCAATTATGATACCAATATAAGTTATGGACGAAGAATGTGGTTTTTTTGTTGTTGTTGTTTTGATTCTTTTTTGTTACGGTGGCAACCCTTCTCTTGTTTTGTGGATGTAACAATGAAGATGAGACTTAAAATTACACCCACAAAATATAACATAAAAGACTATTATCAAAGGCTGAAAAAACATGCTAAAATCCTCTCTTCAGAGCAGGATTTGAGTGGGCTCCATTAAGTAAATAAGTGCCTATGACTAAGCACTCTGGAAAGAAAACAAAGCAAACTGCTCACTAAAAGTGCACAGTCCAGTTTAACATGATAAATGAGGCAGGAGGTGTTTATTCCTAAGCATGTGTATACAGGTGTTTCATATATGCTTCACACACACAAGGGACCAAATGAATACTTCACAAGCAACTCAGATTTTGGCATACTATTTATGAGTGCTTTACTTTACAGCCTTAATAATGTTATTTTAACAAAGCTTTCCAAGCATGTGTAAATTTCTTGAAATGTAAGGAAACAAACAGGATGAAAAGGAAACGTGTCCCAATTTGGCAGCATCAGAGCTTTCCTTTGGTCATCAGCAGAAATGAAACCTTTAGCCTTATGGCATAGAATTCAGGCACGTGGGCGAGTGTCATATTTTGACTCTCTAAGAATCTCTACGCAACCTATGCTGGATAAAATGATGCATTTTATTAGCTGTATTGTCAGAAAACTCTGAGGATTTTTGGCTGAGGTTATTTAGGAAAAAAAATAGAGAGAAAGAAATCCCAAACTAGAATATGATAATAAAAAACGTTATAAAGTTGCTCAGGGACACTGAGAATGGAAAATGTTAGCATGTGTTGCTAGACCTTCTAATATAAAGCACTTAATAACCACCAATCCCATGTGTAATAAATGAGTATTAAATAATGAAAACTCTCAGTTCATTCTGGCACGGATGAATTCATCCATCCATCTCTGCAAAGCTCTTTCTACATCACCTACACCTAAGGCATATTTAATCATTTGTATAATGTATTTATTGCCTTTCTTTGCCAAGAATGACATCACTTACGTGTTAGCCACACGCTTTTAATTAATTTTAGCATAAGGCAAATCTTTCGGTCTGACAGTATTTAAACAATCTTCCTGCCAATGCTGATATTGACAGCTGTGCTACAGTACTTTACTGATATTTCTCTGAAATCATTCAAATGTTCAGAAATACAAGGAAAAAATGGAAGGAAAGGAAAAAGGAAAAAATGGCATCCACTGCCATTCACTGACACTTGCATTTACAGAGAACAAACCATGGATATGAGCAGTGATGCAGTGGGTGGTGTGTTTAGCAGTGATGACAGTGACAGCAAGTCAGTTCCACGAGTGCAGAATGCAGGCTCTTGTTCACAGCTGGTGAAAAATGCATAGCTGATGGTGGTGACTGTGTTGAAAAAGAGTGTTTTGTAGCTGAGAATTTGTTCTATCAAATAGTGTCATTGTGCTGTTTGTATCTGTTGTAGTTTCCGTGGAAATAAATAGGATGCATTACTTTCAGAGTGATCTACATATTTAACAGGAATGAAGATGGAAGTTTTCACGTTACTGGAAACTCTTAACTAGACTCTGCTTTTTCTAGCTGTTACAATAACACAGTGCTGAGGTGCTTCAGTCCTTAATATAAGCCATCACTTACCAGCAAAAGGAAATTGTCCAGCCAGGTGTAAATGTTAAGTGAGCCAATAGTTCCGAGCCAAGGAGCTTGGTGCACCTCATGCACAGCTGTGAAACCAATGTCTGTCACTGCAGGATTGGACAGTGCAAAGGGTACGCTGATCCACTGTAACCAAAGAACAATAGTTTGTTCAGGTCTAATGAAGGCATGATAAACCTGTAAGTGTTAGTCTGTTTCTCTTCTTGCATGCTGCAGATCGAATGTCAAGCTGACTTGCAGAATAGCTAGAAAATATGCCAGAACACCTCCAAACTCCAGAGAGTATACTGGATATTTTACCTTTTTTTCTGGAAAATGTGAGTGTGAAGACAAAATTTATCAGTGGAAGTCACATCATCAGCAGGAGAAGCGCATTTGTACATATTCACTATATTTTTCCTAAACTTCACACATAGTCTTTACACACTTTCTTGGACCACATTGCAGAGAAACATCTACATATAAACCTGCATGCAAAAGCAACAGGATTTGTGAGTATACAGGCACAAGGCATCAAACCTGAAAGCTTGGGAATTTCATTCGAAATCAAGAAAACGTAGAATTTATGCTTCTAATGGGAAAAGAGGGCTGTGAGGCACTGGCACAGCTGCCCAGGGAAGCTGTGGTGCTTCATCCCTGGTCAGCTGAGCTGGTGGGGGGCAGCCCTGCCCACAACAGGGGGTTGGAAGTCAATGATCTTTAAGTTCTCTTCCAACCTAAGCCATTCTATGATTCTGTAATTCTATGAAAACTGTATCATGGCAAGAGAGGGATGCTACTGGAGCATCTCTCTTGCTCCAGAATACTCCAGTGTATTACAATACCCAGTGTGTTACAGCGCTTTTCTACCTCAAGAATAATTTTACTCTGTGCTCTTGGCTGTTTTGATCTGAGCCAAAAAATCAATCATGAAACAGTTCTGCCAGAGGATGGGTTTTCTTCTCCAACACTCTTCTTGTGTATTCTTGTTCATTTTTGAACTCATTAACTCCCTGTGAGGAGGACCTTGGCACTTCCTACTAAGAAGAAAACTGGGCTTAGTAATCTATGGAATAGACAACTGCAACGCACACCCTGAAGCCTTTAGTGATAGCCAAAAATATGCAGATTACCATAGCCCAAATGAACATGTTTAAGTGCACAGAGGTGCAAGGAGGTGGAACTTCAAACATCTTCCTCTACCTTGTTGCACAATTATTGTATCAACGTGTGAAGAAGACATGAAGTATTGCTGTTTTTTTTGCAGCAAGTTGCTTATCAAGTTGTTTATCAAATACAGTTTCTCAATTACATATTAAACTTTTCCAATTTAAGCACCTGGGAAGAAAATTTCCCTTTTCAGTGTTTGCTTAGGCTTTTCTGGAACATATCACCAAAATGTTTCAGTCATCTCCAAGAGATTTTGAAGGAAAGACAAACACTGCCAAAATGATAGGATGCTAGTACTCTTCTAATTTATTTATTTATTTTTTTAAAAATTCGCAGAGAAGGATGATGTGGATTTTTCATTCTTCTTTGTGAATCTCAAATCTCAGACATGTCAAAGTGATGAGTTTACGAAGAGCTGTAGTTTGCACATACTCAGCTGAGATTTTCAGCAGGGAAAATTCCTAAAGGTCCATCTGCAGCCTTCAAGATACAGCCCAGGATTTAATAGGGACTAAATTGCAAACAGATTACTAGCTTTTGTAATCCATTCCAGCTCCTGACAGCAATACAGCTTTTTGTGATCTCAAAGACTACCACTATATTAGTAAACAGAACAAGTCAAGACATTTTCTCTAGTTCTGCAGATCACTGATATGTCCATACATCTAGACTTCCTTTTCCTGTCAAACAGAACAGCCTTGACCTTATCCTGGGAATTATGTGGGAAAGTACTAGCTGGCATGGGCCAAAGCAGTGCCAGGATGGTATCAACAATAAAATAGATCAGATGATCATTTATTTTTACCTTGGCACTGTACAACTTGCTAACATGGACACAGTCTCGAGTTCTCTCCTATTGTCCTCTCTGAGCTGTTAATAATTGGAGTAGGAAATTCAGTGTTTTGAATGGAGCAAAAATAAAACAATGGCTTGTGGGAGCAAAACAGATTTTGGGGCCTTATGCTGTGAGTAGAAGTTCAGGGAAGAAGAGGTATTAGAAGGATCTGGAACTCATGGGATTGGAAACCAAAAAAAAAAAAAAAAAAAAGTATTCCTATACGACAGCAAAGATTTTAGAATGGAGAACTAATAATACAGTTGAGATGAAGAGACAAATAGTTGGGGACAGAGTACAGAATCAGGCAATGAATGACTGGGCAAAATAAAGACAGAGAGTGGAGCTGAGAGTTGCAACTGTGGGTAGAAGAGAAGTGGGAAGGAAGGAAACTATCTGGGGTTGGAAGGAGAAAACCAGGGAAGTATGTGGTTACCTAGACCGGGATAGGGTTTATGAAGACATAAGGATGAGATTGTGTCTGAAATGGAAAGCAAGCACAGGGAACAGAAGTGATTAGAACAAGTATCATGTCTCCGGTAAGGAAGAGACATTAAGAGTAGTGGGCAGTAATACTCTGTGCCAGTGGTTACACAAACTGCTCCAAAGTCTGGAGGGGAAGCTGGGACACCAAGCCTGTCACATCTTCTGCTGTGACACTTGCTGTGAAAGTGTCCTATCTTACCTAAAATCCCTCATCTACAGCATGCCTGTTTAAGTGTTATCTGAAGCTTCTTATGACTCCTAAGGTTATGAATACAGTTCTTTCTACATGACAGCGATATTGTTTACTTGAAAAGGGAAATTACATAAAGAGCCCAACCTGGATTAAAAGAACACTATTAAAACTACAGATCCAACTATTTAAAAGACCGCTATACCACCTTTGTTTGTCTTCCCCTCCCTGTTCACGGCGACTTTAATCATGGGATCATGTTGTTATTCCCATAAAATGAGGGTCTGTAGTAGTGCATGAGTGATTTACTTTATTTGGGGAATTTCTGTAATGCACACCATCTGTGGAAACTGAATGGTTCACAAATGCTAACATGCACCTTAGGGAAGGAGACAGCATTTACCCCACTGTGCAGATGAAGAAAAGAAGTGTGAGAGAAGTTGTTCTGGAATAACTTCTCATTGGAGGTGGCCAGCTGGAACTTGTATTTGCTTTTTCAGAGTGTTTAGCACAATTCCCATGAAGTCAGTTACAAATGGGAATGCTTAGCACTTCTGCAAATAAGGTTGCAGGCCTCACAGTAGGACACCACAGAGTGAGGACTAACACAAGGTTAGCTAGTAGCCATCTGTGCAAGCTCTGGCAGAAGCAATTTCCCTAGGGCTGCATGAGAACTCTAGTGAAAGCAGAGAATCCACTCAGGGTCCCCGAGGTGTCATTCAGCTCCAACACCTTGAGCCACCCCTTCTATTTCAGCCTGTCTCAGATCTCTGCACACCTGTGACAATCTATTACTAGCACTGGCAAGCAGAAATAAGCAGCATCTTTGACTGCACCCTTGTGATCTGACCCCTGCTGCACTGATGTTTTTCTGAGTAGATTCAAGGAATAGCAGTAAGTAGGGGAAAAGCTATCCACTGTCATATCATTGATAACTGATGGCTGAATCATAACACCATATTCAAACAGCACGGTCATCTTGTGAGACTCCCCAGTCTCCAAGGTTAGTGGAGGGAAATGGAGGAAACACCCATATGATGATTCACAGCAGAAGGTTAACTAAGCTGCATAGGTGACAGCTATAGGAAGGAGAAACTGGAGAATACTGGCTGTACAGGTCCAGTTCCAGTGTTTCCGGATTGCTTTACTGACTGCTCTCTGCATCTGATGCCTCCTTCCAGTGCTTTTGCTACAGCTTTATGGACAGATAGTCAATCTCCTCCAGTCCTGTTCTAAATTAGAGACATACTCAGAATGAAAAGTAAGAGTAGGAAAAAAGCCAAGAATAGTGCCTCATGTCAGCAGTATTGCCAAAGCATGGGCTGTATACTGATGCAAATGCAGACCCTTTAAAGCCATTGGTCTGTGAGTGGAGATATTCCTTCACCTCACTTTCAGAGAAGCCACAATTCCAGAATTTCAGCTGGGCAGTAGGTCTCTGCATTTGTCATTTGTCATAAAGCTCAAGGCAAAATTTTCAAGAAAGTGGAAAAAAGCCAAACTTACCAGCCCAAGGAAGATGCAGAACAACTGAACTACGTCAGTGTAGGCCACAGAATAAAGCCCACCCACAAGAGTGTACAGAGTTGCAATCAGGGCAGAAATAATGACTGAAAGATTGATATTAATGTCAATGATCACACTTATCGTGGCACCTATGGAAAAAAAAACAACAACAACACAAAAACAACACTATATTAGTGTATGTCACACAGTGATGAGAAGGAACTGGATCTCATTGTCCAAGTCATTAATGAAGTTGTTACACAGCATAAGACTCAGTATTGACCCCCAGGGTACTCTGGTGGATGACTGGCCACCAGCTGGACTCCACGCTCTGGTCACAGCCCTCTGTGCCCAGCAGCTTGCTAAGTCTTCATCTTCCCTATTGCCCACTTAGTTTGTCTATGTGCATATTATGGGAGCCAGCAACAAAAGGTTTGGTTGGCCTACACAATTACTTTAGTTTGTGTACTTGTAGGGACAACTCTTGTTGCCCTTTATGGCCAGATTCAAATCCAAGTGGACTTTGGCTGTTCAGACCCCATCCTACTATATTCAGAGAGCATCTCCATATTCCTTCCAGATCCCCTGCTCCTTCTTCTACCTCTTGAATGCTTCCTTTTTATATATGTGTATAGACAGCAGCTTCTTTTTCATCCATGCAGGCCTTCTGACACTTTCTCGTTTTCATGATTGTCAGAGTGGACTGTTTTGAAGCTTAGAGGAGGTGATCCCTGAACATCAACCAGTTCTCTTGAATCTCACTGTCATCTTTCAAGGGATTCCTCCAAGCAGATCCCAGAAGTGACCAAAGTCTACTCTCCTGCAATCTGCTGCTGTGGTCCTGCTTTTTGCCTTCTTCCTTCCTCTCAGATCTCTAAACTCTATCATCTTCTGAACACTACAGCCAAGGTTTCATCTGGCTTTCACATCCCTAATTAATTAATTCTTCCGTGTTTGCAAGTATTAGGCTCAGAAGAGCAACTCTCTTCATCATCTCCCTTAATCGGTCATGCAATTATCAGAGCACTCTAGAAACATCCCAAATTGCTTGTGTTCTGCATTGTGCCTCCAACAGCTGTCAAGGTGTTTGTATACTTCCCATAGATATACTAGCTATTTCAAATGATTGTAGTATTTTAACTCACTGTTTTAAAAATTCATCTCCTCCCAATTAGGACAATTTAGATGAAATATCTTAGAATAACTTTCAGTCCTTGCAGGTACAGCAGATGGATATTCTTGAACACATGGGTGGAAAGTATCTGGCAGTACCACCCAGAATAACATGTAGTATGTAAGAGTTGCAGAGAGCTGATAGGTAGCTTTTTGTTGTACAATGAGCCCTCAGCATTCTGGTATTTCAGAATTACAGGCTCAAAAATCTTGCAGAAGTTGGAAGTCCTGTCTTTCACTTCTACAGCCCTGTCAAGCCAGGAATCATGAGAAGATCAGCAAATGAAGAATGCTTCGGTGAAGATAGGTGTGCAAATTAGGAGTTGTAATACAAGTGTGTCTATTCGCAGAACAGTTAAAATTATAGCTCTCTGTGACCTTTATAGTCTTTAGCCATCAGTGGTTAATATGAAGCTACAAGAAAGGCATTCACACCATTTGCTTTGGAATATCAAATATTAGCTTGTCCTCAATCAAAAAGAAAGTATATTTTAAATACTCAGAGAGTTCTTCAAGCTATTCAACTCCTATCACCTCAGCGTGTAGTTTGTTCTTACTCCTTTAAGGGTTTTGTGATGAAATTGTGGTAAACAAGCTCCCCATTGCTTTGCAGTTCATCAGAGCACAGTTGGAGAGTACCTTCAAAGTTTATTTTCTGTTTAAAATAGCTGTGCTAGAAAGCATTACCACATGCATGTGCACTATGAGTATGATTAGCTGGTAGAAGTCAACTACTGGTGCTTCAGCTCAAGGACTTTCTCAGTTCTTGAAGGGATTGCTAAATTCAAAACTGAAATATAATTAAAAACCCTGGAAACTGACTTATTTTTCAGGACTGGATGAGTAGCTGGGTGATTTTCTATTGAGTCATAGTTCCACTAATTCTCTGCATCCTTTCTTGAATCCTAAGTATTTTCTTTATTTTGTCAAGAAGAAAGCATTGAATAGTACTTAAATGTATTTATCTGAACCTTGTTTTACTTCTATTATTTGTGCTATGGTAAGCTGTGTTTATTTAGACCCTCTTTATGTAAAGGATTATTTTGTTCAGATGCATTGGCAATGATGTTTCATATATTTCACGAAATTCTGTCCCCTGTGATCTCAGTAGTGCAGAAGAAAAGCTGGGGCAGCCGTGACGCAAAAAAGGATACTTGTAATCATTCACCTCACCCTCTCTGTTAAAGTAAATTTGTTGCTCAATCTTTCCATGTTGTTTTGACAAGGGACCGCTTAAAGGTACATTTTCAAATGTACCTTCAGTTCAAGGAAGAGGTCTGGATTTCTTTTTAAACATCTGGAAATGTCTTTCCATTACCAAAATAATCAATGAGGTACCATTGTTGTGTACAACTACTGTTTACCGTAGGTCTGAGACAACTGCCATACTCTGGGCTGTTTGGCTAAGATAGTTAAAATTTGAAGCCATTTTTTATGCATTCCTGATTTTCTTAATCCCTTACACCTATTTCAAGTTAATTTTTAAAATGATATTTCCTTACCTAAGGCAGAGAAGATGGCAGCAGCCCAAAACATTTCTCCCATTAAAGCTGGAATAAACAGAAGCCCTCCCATCCTTTTTCCATAAAGCTGCTGAAAAGGGTCTAGCATTGTCACATAGCCTTTGGATCGCATAGGTTTTGCAAAAAACAGACCACCTACAAAGAAAAGTAGCACAAGACACCAACTGTAGTGGAGTAATGCACTGACATAAAGGGGTAAAACACTGATTTTCAAGTAAAGGTATAAAAATATCAGCATTACTGTGTTTTGTTTCTTTAAATAAATAAGTACAAGCAAAATATTTGCTAGGAACTCTAATTTTACATCTAACCATAGAGTTACACAAGCAAAATGACATCATTTATGTCTACAGTATAGTAATGGATTTTTATTTTTATTTTTTTAAGTTTTTTGGTTCAGTTTACTTGATCTTCCACTATGAATGATGTCAGAATTTTGTCTCAGTTTGGATCAGCCTAAAAGAATATCTTTCGTAACTAAGTCTGTTCATACATAGAGTAGAACCCAACGTGAATATACATCTTATTTTTCACATAGAGCTACACTAGAAATAAAACAGTCTGGGAATCTGGATCAGAAATATGGGTTCACACATGGCATAGAGTGCACTCAGCAAAACTGATCCTTTCAGGAGAACTCAGATTTATAACGCACGCTTCAATCAACCTTACTACACCTGCAGGATAGGTCAAATGCTTTCTGGGTTCTGCAGGTGTCAGGTTCCCTGAACATTTGTCATACACTTATTTCTGTGCACATTCAGGACATTTGATGTATCACAATTCTGCTCTGCCTGGCTCACATATGTACTGGGGATGTACATAAATGTGAAAAGTCCTTACATTTCTAACTTATTTCTAATATACAGTTGTCAAATTCTTTCTGTCCAGGGAAAATAAAACAAACAAAAAAAAGGGATAAATCTCACTAGAGTCAAAATAGACACTCTATGGAAATCTTTGACATCAGATGTTTACAGATAAGAAGACTTCTTTCACAATAACACTGCTGAAATGCAATCCATAAGCTATACTACACTAGAAAACCAGGGAGTATTTGGAGATCCTTAGGTTCTCCATCATAGGGAATCTGTTTGTTGTACTGTACAGAAGATTTTCCACATATCTTTGTCATGCCCGATATTTCTTCAATTCATTAAGTTCCCCGAACAGAAAGCTCTAGCTTACCAATCACAATTTATGCCCTTTATATTATGCCGTCTTTAGATAGGCAGTTCACATGCAGAAGGCCTCCAAAATCTTTTCCTCTATTTTTTCATTGTTCATGACTCCTATACCTATTCTATTTGTTACATCATCATTACAAAATACAACTAAAGCAGGAAAAAAAATAGTCACTGGTAGCATAATCTATTAGGCTATTCAAACATCTGTCCATGATAATAGGAGATATTCTAACCGTTGGAACTTGAAAAATTAGAAAAAATTCAGCAGATTATTGAATTAGTGGGAAGGTTAAATTAATCTTAAATCTTTTCAGCCTGAAGCAATAATATTTCTTTCATTATTCTGTTCTTATATTTATATATATTTTTAAAGGACTAACAACACCTCATCCCAAATCTGCATGTACATATCACGCATACAGAAATGCTTTTCTTGCTGTGTTCTGAGGAGAGACGTATTGGTCACACAGCACAAAATTTCTTTTTCTCTGCAGAGGCCAATGTTTATCAGTCCAAGGATGAAGTCTGGATTTCTTTGTAAATAGCTGGAAATGAGGGGAATAACTAACTCAGCCTCTTGTGGGCTATTGATTTGGGACAATTCTACAATGGCTACAAACCTGTAAGATGCTTATGACTATAATTCTAATGACGACTTAATGACACAGATCGATCATAACCCTCAAGACCTGATAATGACATTAACTGATCTCTAGGCAGATCTACTATTAATGTTTTCTTTAAAGGATTCAGAACTGCTCTCAGGGATGGGATTTACTATTGGAACTAGAGCTGGCCTGCACATAACAGGGAGGAATATGCACAATCTGGAAATGTTCCACTGGGAAACAGGAGAACCAAGGCAAGCCATAGTTTCTGAGGGGAAACTGAGTTGTATAGGAAGAAATAAAAGGGGCTAGAAGACCTGGAAAAGCAACCAAAATGGAAAAAAATAGCACAGATAGCTGGGAGGACCAGAAGAAAAAGGCTCAAAATAGACTGAGAGGGTAAATATTATCAAAAATCTAGTAAACCAGCCGTATTAATACAAGATGAAAAATACAGGATCATTTCTGGAAACATATCCTTTCTAAGCAGTTGCACCAGCACTTGCCACGATCTGTTCAAAACCTGGAAGCATGTATTTGACAGCTTCGTAGAGCATTCATCATAGCTCACAAGGCAATATTTCTGTCAAGAGCTGCTCCATGCAACTGAAACATGACAAGATATTTTTTATTGCTGTTATTTTAGAGAAAGGTAAGAAGGTCTGATTGAATTTTGGGAATTAGAGAACAGAGCATTAAGCATTACAGCACTGTCTGTATTTTACACACTGATCCTGTGCGTGGAAGGATTCAGTATTTTCATTTTGACCATGATTTTGAATTTCATACTACATATAAAAAGAAGTTTAGCTCAACTTTACAGCAACAAACTGGCTCTCCTCCAGACTTCATGCACGAAATTCAGAAATTAGTCTCTCAGTAGAGAATTCTAAGATTTAAGCAATTCCCCAACCTGCGAGGGTATTTGCTGCATTTGAAGTCTGTGATTTAGACACTATCAGAGAACCCAGTAATATTTTGCAGATTATACAGGCTCTTAAAAACAACACAACAAAACAAAACCCTGAATATATAAAACCTAGTACATACGGTTAAAAATATTTTAAAAACATGTCCAAAAACAAAAACAAAACAAAAAAAAAAAACAACAACAAAAGCAACAGCTTTTCTCAGTGTCATTTCACCAAACCCATGTGATGTCATTTCAGAGGATGGTCTTGACATCAGAACTCCAAAATTAGTGAATATCGCCTTCATTTCCTTGCTTACCTAAGACCAGACTAAGGGAATATCCGATAGGTGCCTGAGCCCAAGCTAGACCGTAGCCTGGGACATACACAGCTTCTGCTGTCCCGTTGATGTAACCTCCTCCAACCCATGTGGCTGAAAAAGAAGAGGTAGAAAAGCCCTTAATGCACTCAGAGAATAAAAACCTTCCACACTGAAAAACAAAATTGTCATCACTTATAATACTGCTGTTTTTTATTATGTGTACTATACAAGTACCAGACATAGCATCCTTTTATAGAAGGTAGTCCTAATCCAAAAAAATTTACAACTTAAGCATATGAAAGAGAAACCAGATGACTGTCTACAATCAGTGAAAATGTGGGGCCTGAGTTCCCCTTTGTACAAAGAATGAAGCATAATAAGTCATGAAACATGATCGTTTTCTTTGTTCAAATGAAAGCAAGAGGTAAAGGAGAGGCAAGGAAGAATAACCATATAGCGACTAAGTCATCCCAGTTCAGGAAACTCAGAGCACTGAAATTAGACAGTAATTTAATGCAGGCATGTCCAACCTGCAGCCTGCCGGCCATGTGCAGCCTGGCTCAACCCATCCTGCAGCCAAATCCCCATACCATCATAGTGGCAGCTCTGCCCTGCCGACTGGCCCAGCCCCATTAATAGGCAAATCATCATATAGATATGTGATGGTCTCGTGCTGCTATTTAAGTTCTAAAAACTGACTTATGTATTTTTGTGCTCCCTGCAGACGTATTCTAGAATTGTAACATCATTAATATTTCTTATCGTTTCTATATAAACAACCAGTATTTCCAATTTACTGAACTCAGACCCTTAATGAATTCTCTGCCCTACATTTGAAAATTTTGGACCTTGAGCGTGTCTGACCAAAAATCTCAAACACAGAATTTTTTTGTGATTGAATCTGTAAAAATCATTCATTACGAATTATATAATGAAGTTTATCTCTTTGTTTGCAGATTCCATGCAAAAAAGTCTTTCATTTTCTCAGATGTATAATAAGTGAGTTTTATGAACCTAAGCCTGTAGTTTGAAGAATGGCAGGCAAGTCATTATGTTTTTGCAAAGCCAATTTGAATTGCCACAAAACCTTTGCCTTCTTACACAACATGCACAGTTCAAACCTCCTGTGTAAAAACTTACAATTGTAAGAAAGTTACTTTCCTTATTCAATATTCAGACTTCTGTGTATTAAATATCAAGTGGAGGTGGATAGAAGCAATGGAGATACAATTAAAGTTCCTGAAGATCTTCAATGTAAATCTAGCTGACTACTCTTCCAGTTACATGTGATCTCTCTTAACTACAACAAGATGGTATTTTTTAATTTGATGTTAAATTACACCATGGCTTTGGAATCAAAGATCTCTGGAAACTTGAGCATTACAATTGTCCCCCGTTCTGGATTTTGAAGGACAGGAATGGACCATTCTGTTGGAAATACTGAAACAGTTCTGTACACAGGATGTGCATGCAGAGAACGTCTGCAACAAAAGGAGTGACGCTATATACCCTGATTATTAGTAGACTTTTCAGTACTGAGAATTACTGTGCATTACAGAGACGAGTGACGACCACGTGGAAGAACATGGAGAAGATGGGTGAACACTGATTCTTGACAGGAAGAACCAGGAATACAGAATGTATATAGAAGATTATCAGACACATGGAATTTTTTGCCTCTTACTAATGTGAACATAGTGAAGCAGGTGGAAATATGATACTTTGGTTACCAGAGTCCATGTGCACCTGGGATATGTGTTCCTTGTTGTTTCTCAAGCAGTATATACTTATGGAATGTGTCATGAGCACCTGCGTACCGTAGCAAAAGTCACTGAATAAATATTTAGAAATATATTTGTACATGTCTGTTTCCCTGGAAAAATTAGAAGCATGAATTCTGAATGAATGACACCCACTTCCAGGTAGGAAAAATCCCATAGGCAAGGACAGATGTCTAGTAGAACTCCTGCTGTGGTACAAAAAGGCTTTGGTGGCTGGCATTGATTTGCCTGGCGTTGACACTAAAGGTGTGTCTGTTCTCCAAGGGGAACTTGAATGCTGTGCCTAGTTCCTTTATTTTTCTTCTGGAAGTGACCAGGCAATTTCAATTCTGTAGGATGTGGTAGGGGCCACTGCCCTCCCCTGGCTGGGGACGAGAACGATGCCCCATGGACAGGTATTGGTGAATAAGCTAGAATGGCAGATTTAGCACTCTTTTATGATTTCATTATTTGTTTTCTTGATAGGGAGTTTGAAAATTAGCTGCTGATCAATTTTTGTTCCTCTACAACATCTGCAAGGGACCCCAGAGCTTTAGAAAGGTGTTACACAGCTTTTTGTCAGGGAGTTAAGCGCTACCCTGTCATCAGTAAATACATTTGAAAGAAAATAATGGGATATGGTAGGAAGGGATTTCATCCTTAGATATTAATTCTCTGATCCTCAGTTTTTTAAGCCACAATTTAAAGTTAGTTTAATTTTTTTTTTTTTGGTGAATTTTTTTTTCCTTTTTTTTTCCCCCTAAATCAGACAAAAGGAATATAAAATATAATAATCTATAGAAACACTTGCGGTAATCCATTTTAATCCTCTCTTTCCCTTCCAACTGAAGGGCCCCAAAATGCTGCAAATAGAAATGTCCATTTAAAGCAAGTGCCCTAAAAATAATCAGACAAATACTTAGGATATGGAGTGCAATTTGGTTCCTAGTTCATACGAGGAACATAAAAAAAAAAAAAAAATACATTTCAGAAATCTTTACATATCTCAATGTATATTAATAAGACAGATTTTCTGATACTTCTTTGTAAATGATCCCTTGTCTAAGCACACAAATTACTGAATCAGCTCATCATGTTCTATAAAATGGAATTTCCGACCCGGGGATTACAAAAAAAGTCAGAATACTGATAATATTGATAATACTGATAATATTTATTTTATTTTTGTGAAACAATACAAAACTTCATCCAAGTAAAATAAAAAATGATGTCAATAGATTATGATATTTTTAGTTGCATTTGCAAGCATTTTGATTACGTAATTTCAAATATTTCCTTTGGGGCTCAATCTCAATCACCAAAATCGGGATAGTCTCAAGTCTGTCACAGATATCACTTCTTTAAATTGTTACCCACAAATTAAGGAATATTCATATTTAATTCAACATTTTACCTATACTCATGAAAAATTAATACATGAATTGAAGTCATGCCTACTGCGGCGCTATGTTAGGAGAGCTGTTGTGATCCATTGAGAATTCAAGATTTTCACTCTTTTTTGATAATTGCAGACACACTCGACCTTCAATAGGCTTCATGTTGAGGCATTCCAATAACAAGTTACTTAAACAGTTTGCTCAGGATCACAGTACCAATCCAAGTATGTCCATTATTCATAAGGTGTACACTTACTTTAACACTTTTAAATACAATTCAGCAAACCAACTAAATACTTACGAATCTTGAATCTATCCTATGAAGTCATGATGCTTACACTTTCAACTTGATTTTAAATTTACAAGCTAAGTTCTGCCATCCTCCCCACCAAGTAGCTCTAAAAAACACAGCCGGTTTTGTAGCTAATACACATGGAACACGGTAGAATTTGTCTCAAGCAAAAAACAGAATTGAGTCTTATCTCACAACCCAAAGTATTTCACATACGTATAATAAATAATATCATTTCTAGGGATATTTTAAAAGTCTAGTTTTGCTTAGACAACTCAAGTTATAAAATATTGAGAGCATGTTTGAATAGCCATCTAGTTCTGGAGACGTTGTTGTCATGTGTGAAATCCAGTCTATGGTTTTTAAAGGACCGTGAAACTATTTTGTAAAGGTTATTGTAGATTTTGATCAGCTTACAATAGTTTTGTTTATAAAAAAGGCATATCCCAATCAACTCACTTTGTCACTGAACAAAAACTGACTTAGTCCTTGGTTCTATAGGATTGTGCACACAACTCCTATCTCTACACGCCAGGTGCAGTGCTCTCAAAGTGATGGCGGAATTTACTTGCTGTCTCAAGCTGTATCTGCCGTATTTGTGGAAGGCAGAGGTTAGAAAGCATGTAAACCCTGCTGGTATAAAATCTGTGAGCGCTCTATCTGAGCAAAGACTTTAGGATCAGTCTGATGTTCTACCACAGAAATGATACACTACGTCATCTTCAGAGGTGGCATGAAATGGGGTGAATGTGTATGGGTGTGAATTCTGATGGTTATAGAAACTGCCTGTAATATAGGGAGCCCAAATTCAAGTCTCATCTCTTCTTCACCTTTTATGAAAAGTATTACTGTAAAATGGGATTAAGGAGACCAAATTTATGCCTTCTTCCACAGGTAAGGCATCATAACCACTTCTGTGGAGAATATAATTTCATCTCCTCTTTTCCAATCTAATGATTACGGCTTTGTGGCAAGCAATATCTCTGCAAAATATTCTGGTATCAGTGCCCTTGAAAACATTTAATTTAGCAGAAAACAGACAAACTAGCTCTTGTCATGAGTAGAGTCTGGTCATATCTGAAGTTTCAGTAGCTGATGGATACATGGCTACTGATGCACCATCACCCGATGTGCTCCAGTATGTTATAGAAAAGTGATAAAAGTATAACATATACATGGGTTCAAACTTCAATGACTTTTACAAGCGTCCTTTACTCATGATCTTTCAATGAGCAAAATGACTCTGCAGGGGGATGGAGAAGAACACACACTTCCTGGCCCAAATTTTTATGCATCTCCTATATATTACGTATTGAGAAACCAGACAGGAGAAAACAAAACAAAAGTCATAACTTGATGAATTCAATTTGGGAACTGAAAGCGCTTTGCTGGAATTTAATTTAGAATATTAAAAAAAAAAAAAATAGAAGCATGCTTAAATAAAATTATATTGTTTAAATAAAAATGGTGGGCCAATTCACTCTTCTTGTAATGTACTTTTGTTCCAATCCCAGACATTAATTTCAAGAGCAGAGATTTTGGACCTTGCTGCAAACCTTTTGTTTACCCATGCAACTTATCAGGTTCGATTGGGGGAGTGAAACAGCACTGCTAAGGAAATTAGCGAGCTTATTCTTCACTGAGGCTTTTCCTTCTGATACTAATTTTCACAGAAATGTATTATTTTGTCAAAATGCCACAAAAGATGTTAAAGAATCCACAAAGTAAGCTTGCAAAAATCAGTGGGCTTAAGAGTTTAGATTTATGCTAGTTTTCTTCTAGAGACCAATTCTGAACTGATGCTGCCTCCCATCTTTTTTTACATATAAATTTTGCTTTACTCAGACTTAGCAAAAATAACTCATGAATTTGGATGGCTTTAACAACAGCAACAGTTATTTTAAAATTAGTTTTCTTATTAATCTGTATAGCTCCTATATTTCTGTTCCAAACATGCCTGATCTACAAATGAACATGAAAGCAGTGAGTAAGATATGCAATATATTCTTTCTGTACCATTTTTAAAAGTTTGTTGTTTTTATCTAGATTTAGACACTTCATTCACTAAACAATTTCAGCAGCAATTGGGAAACAAAATATGGGTATATCCTCCACTATGTATTACTTAGCGTACAGATAATAGTTCTCTTTCACTCTGATAGAAAACTAACAAGCTATATGCTGGTTAAGGATAAAAAAGAAGAGGATAAAAGACCTTTTACATACCAGTCATTGTAAATCCACCAACCAGCAAGCCAATGTCTCTTCCGCCGACGATAATAGCTTCGCTGCGATCTCCATCGCTGCCGGTGTTCTTGGTTTTCCAAGCAGCCCATATCCCAACTGCCAGGATAGCCAGGTAAAACACAGCTATGGCCACCAGTCCCTCCACATGGAAAGGCATGTTGGAGTCCCGACTGGTTTTTTGATCGCTATTTCATTAAGGCTGCTGGAAAGAATGCAATAATATGTCTGCTTTTAGCAAACCTAGCAAGATGCTTTTCAGAATCAATCTACGAAGGAAACTCAGATCGTTACTGAAAAGGCTGTTGTGGTGAATTTATTAAATGAGTATTTCAGATGTAACTGAAATTAAGCTTACATGCCAATTGAAATGCCTGTGGAGCAACGAGCAACAATTGTAACCTCTGATTACAATGGAAAGTGAATGATGTGGCCGAAAGCAATGCAATTCTTATAAATCAGTTCCTGAATACGGAATTCTTATAGTCACAGAGTTGCCACAGTTAGAACTCTTTACCCAAGAAATAGCTTGGTACGTGGAATAGTAGAAAAGAGCTTGGCCATGTGGTCTGTTACAGAAGTCTCTATTTAGTCAGAATATGAAAACTGTAAAGAAGTAACAACAGCAAAAGGTATCTTTTGATGTACTGGAATGCTGCATCTTTTCTACCCTCACCCCCTTCCTGTATTTAAAAATCTCCACTTTCTCTTTAGTGACAGGCTTAATTTCCCAGCATTAAAAGTACCGATCAATTCACGATCGCGCTTTCATCTGGAAAGCGCAAAAGCTGTCGGACGACAGCAAACGCCAGTTCCCCGACCTACAGCCCGGAGCCCCTCCCGGGCGACCCCCCCAGCCTTCCCCGCATCTCTCAGCTCTCCCCCCCCTCTCCGCGCTCGCCTCCTCCCAGCAGCTCCGGCAACAGCCGCCCACCGCCCCGACGGCTCCGCGGGAACCCCGCTCTCCATCCCGCGGAGCCGCCCTACCTGCCGCTCTCCGCGGAGCTCCTCGGGGCTCCGCCCGCCCCGCCCGGCCGCGCACCCTCGCCTCGCCTCCCGCTCCGCTCCCTCCCGCCGCGCCGTCGGGGAGCCGAACCCGCTGCACTGTGCCCGCCGCCCCACCTGGGATCCGGCGCCGCGCTGCCCCGCAGTGCCCCGGGCACGGCCGTCCATCCCTGGGGCGGTGTCGGGGCTGAGCCCGAGGGCCGTGCCCCCACCCGGGGTCTGTCCGCAGGGGGTGGGGGTGAAGCGCAAAGGCGGCTGTTCCCCTCTCGGTGCGCCGAGTGGTGAGGTTGCAACAGTGGGCTGGTGGATTAAAAAGAGGAAAATCTCTTTATAAAGGAGGAGGGTTGAGTGGGGTGAGAGGACCGTGTCCGTCAGAGATGAGGGGGAGGAAGGGGGAAAGACGTCAGAGTGCTAGGGGACGTTGGGGGGAAGTAAGGATGACTCAAGGGAGAGTGATTGTCGTGTCATGGCAGGGAAACAGGGTTAGGAAGTAAAAGCGGGGAGAAAAAATAAAAGGGAACAAGGGGGAGATAGGAAGGAACAGGTTCTTGTGAGACCAAAGGGAGAGAGGAAGAAAAGAACGAGCCTATCAGAAAAGGAGTGCTGAAAAGAGGGATGAATGAAAGGGAGAGAACAGAAGGAGGAAGAGGGAAGGTATGCTCTGTGCTCTCACTGCCCCCCAGCACCCCATCTGCACCTCCCACAGGCCTGACACCGAGGCTGGGCTCCCCAGGGCTGCTCAGAACCACCCTTCCCCACAACTCCCTCCTGTACCAGGCTGAGCATGCAGCCAGGTTCCCACCCACAGTGCTGCTAATTCTTGGGGCTCTCCCTTTTTGATGTGCCCCTCATAAAGTTGACCTGCAGCCCAACAGTAATACCAGCCTTGCTTTAAAAGGGTTCCTACCCTTTCCCTCCAAATGATGCTGGACATTGGGCCCCTCAGAGCTGAGAATGGTATTGCACGTGCAAAAAGGACCCATGCACACTGTTGCCTCAGTTTTTACCAAAGGAAGGCCTTGCTGAGCTGTATCAGTCACTATTAGCCCATAAGATTCAAATAGTTTCAAATAGGATAGATAAGTGGAAATAAAAAGCCCATAGGAGTGTAGAGATGAGATTGGTGCAAGTCAGAATCAGGCAGACACTACAGGAGCATCTTAGAATCGAGAGGAAAACCATGATCTAGGAGGATATAAGGACAGAGAAGGGGGAGGTTGCAGGCCAGCAGAACTCATCCCAAGTAAGGAAGGAAACATGGGCTGGCCCAAGTCTGCTGTCAGCCAGCTGCCCAGCCTGCAGAGAGCCTCTGCTGCCTACTGGCAGACTGATGAGCCCGGCATGCCAAGCAGCATATCAGCCCAGCCACTTAATATATATATTATGTGCAATCAATTATTAATGCATATCTGTAAAGTGCATAACAATGCTTTCAAATATCTGGTCTTGGTTGAAGAAGCCCAAATAGAGGTGACCAGTGAATCAAAAGCTATAAAATGTACTATTTTTGTCAGCCAATCATCTGTGGACTGTTGAGTGACGCTACTGATGAACGTTTGCCTTGGGAGTCTGCAGTTAAAACTCTTCCCAGTAAAAGACAACAGAGATGCACTTCATACACAAGGGAGCATCGTGGCACCTTCTCATCAGCACTCCTGTCGTAATTAAACATAATACCAATGATAAGTAGAAGTCATAGACTTCAGAAACAGCATTGAGTGTCCCTATTAGAAGCAAATAAATGAATTTCAGCAGGTAAAACATGCTAGAAAATTCTTGGGTGATATAATGGATGTTAAATTAGATTTACAAAAAAAAAATTAATTACATTTTAGTCTGTTTTTCTCCGGCTCAGTGTAGAGGAACATGTGACAAAACAAAGTATGGAAAATTCTGATGAAAACTGCTATCCAAAAGTCTTTCTTAGCACATTAAACTAACTAACTAGCTTGCTAACTAAATCTTAAATTGTGGCTTTAGTCTTCACCGCAGACTGTGGCAAAATTCCTGTTGTCCTTAGTGGCCCTAGTTGAACCTGTTCTGGAATGGGGAAACAATATTTTTATTCATTTTTAAAACTTGAATAATTTAAGTGAATTACATTTGAATGAAATTCATTAAAATGAGTCCTGAAAAACTATTAATTTTGATTTGTTTAACCTCCTGAGACAAGTTTCTTGCGTATTTCATAAGAATGGTTTTCAGCCTTCCACCCAGTGAAACAACCGCACTGACCAAGTTTTACCTTCCACCTGAATCTACTCCTTTAATGATTTAACCACAAATAAGTTAAATCATACATTTTCTCTCTCGTGAGACACTCATCTAAGGTATAGGTTCCTTACGCTGATATAGCGTTGGATTTTGAAGCTGCCTTTGGGTGTATCTGGAAAAGACCGAGGCAATCATTTTAGTGAGGTGTGACCATTATTTGGTTTAATAATTTAGTATTCCTTCCTTGCTCTCCCACTGGTACCATTTCAGGCAGTTTTGTAGTGCTTTGTCTTGGGTAAAGACCTACTGGATTCCTGTGTGGATTATGCCAGTTGCACTCCATCAACCACCTTCAACCACAATAGATGGCACACAGGGAAAGTTGTAAACTGAGACAGGAGAGGTTTAGGTTGGATATTAGGAGGAAGTTTTTCATACAGAGGGTGGTGACACACTGGAACAGGTTGCCCAAGGAGGTTGTGGATGCCCCATCCCTGGAGGCATTCAAGGCCAGGCTGGATGTGGCTCTGGGCAGCCTGGTCTGGTGGTTGGTGACCATGCACATAGCAGGGGGTTGAAACTGGATGATCATTGTGGTCCTTTTCAACCCAGGCCATTCTATGATTCTGTGATTCTATGAACCACAGCCATGTGCAATGTTCATGTCTTAGGATGTGCATAAATGGGTTCCAGTAAATTTTATAGCTTTTGTGAAAAAATATACCATGGTGCCAGAGTTACTTATTTCAGCCACACTAGGCCTGACCACATTTCCGAAGTGATTTTTGTGTACTATAAAAGGGACGAGTTTGTGTTTTACAGGAAAGAGAATCAGACAATCCACTGGCAGTTTGCTGCTTTTAAGACAATCATTCTTCCCTTGGACATTATTTTCTCCTTTTCTTTTTAAAGAACATAGCTTGAAAATGCACTTTTTATTTAAAAAATAACCTTGAAACTTAATTTTCATTAAGAAATGAAGAAGAAATAATAAATAAGAAATTTGATCCCATTTACTCACCTTGAATCACATTCAAGTTTAGTTGTGTGTTGGTTGGTGGCTTCCCATCACTGTAACCTGTCTCTGCCCAAAGGGAAAGCCCTGCCTTGAACAGTGACAGCACTGGACTTGAACCCTGTAGAGCAAGGCAGTCCAAGGTCCAAGAGAGGATGGGGTGGTGGAAGAAACATAATGCTCTTTCATTTTGGTTAAGTTAGCTGAATGAATGTGCAGCACTAAAGAGAAACCTGATAAATGGTGGTAAGTTTTTTTGTGTTGGCTTTTTTTCCCCCCCATTAAGTCCAGCCTGCTGCAAGCTTCCAAGGTCTCATTCTGTACTGAGCTATAAGTTCTACCTTATGTGCCTTGTGAAACACAGATGAAAGGCCAGGTTTTACTTTAAAGAAACACAGCACAAACCTGGAGCTATTCAAGCTAAATTGCTTGAATGCACTTGAGATTTATTTCACTAACAGAAACTGGCCTCAAATCTCATTTCTGTGTGTGTGTGTGTGTATGGCAAATTTTTTATAGTAAAATGAATGTTTATTTCAGTGACAGACAAATTCTTTCCTTTTTTTTTTTTTTTTTTTTTTTTGTGAATAGTGTGTACAGAGGCAGGGTACCTATCAAGGAGCAGAAGGCTAAAGGTACAGATCCCTACAGGTTGTTTCAGAACACTGTATTTCATCTCAGGTTAGATGGCTTTTGCTTTCTCTTTTTAAGCCAGCTGTGTCTCACATGCTATTCTCCTTCATTTCTTTACACAGCTATTAGGGAATAATCTTAGAAAACAACAGAAGTTAGCTTTCATATACACAGTCATTTTTGAAGCAAAGATATTATAATATTTCCACAGATTTCCTGAGTGTGTGTATACTTATTTGAACTCACTCTTGCTAACAGTACAGATTTTTTAGTTTTTAGACCTATGTCCACCACTGGAGTTTAGAGAAAGA